AGTTTTATATTTTCGAAATGTGCATATTCAGTACCACATCTACATTAAAAGAGAGCAATATATTTTTAAGTTATATTTTTTCAAGTAAATGTATTTTTTAAGACCTTTAACAAATCCAATAGCTAGAGCGGTGGCCTTCAAAAAACCAATTCCAAACTAAAATGATTTAAATCTGACTTATATGCCTTAAAAAAATTGAGAAATTAATAAATTATAATGACAATTCGTATATTTTATATTTTTCAAAATTAGGTAAATCTATAATATATCTTGATTCACGTTTCTCCAAATCCTTCAACTTTGCTACGACCTTGTTGTAGGCTAATATTTATGTGTTATTTTGGCCAGAATTTCAAGCATTTATGCCACAATGTAAGCTCAAGTGGGGTTGAGAGTGGTCTTCCTCGTGGTGTCATGCAAACGAGCAACGTTGTGCGTAAAGTTTTATATGCCATTTACATTTTATTCTATCTCATCTCATGGCTGAGTAGTTTCATGCGTGTCCTGTATTGTCCTCTCTGTCCTGGGCTGCACTTGTTTTTACTCGCTTTGTTTTTCGTCCATTAAATGCTACATACTCGTACAGCCAAAAGGCAGTTGTTTTGGCAACTGTTGCTGTTACTGTCGCCTGGTTTGTATGTTATTCGCCCCCTCCTTGTTTGCTTGTATTTGTTTGTTTGCTCCTGTCTGTGCCTGTTGTACTATGTACTATGTATGCATGTATATTTATTTACCCAATGCCAAAAAAAATATGTAGTTTTAAATGTAATTCTTGGTGCAGCTGGGCCCGTCCTTGTATGCTGCCTACCGTTCACATACCTGCATACAAGCTCCTCCATTGTACCGAGAGCAGTGCAGTGCACGGCAGGCTGCTCTTCAGGCTTCGAGTGTTACTTTTGGCAATGTGCTCGACGCCTGTAGTACTTACTACACACTTCAGCAGATTAAGCGCTGTACGGTTATTTTTTCATTCTGAACCATGTGGCCCTGGTTGTCTGCACGAACTACTCATCGGTGTCGGTCCGGTTGGCAGGCACATGCATAAATATTATAAAGTGTGTACGAAGGTGAGTGCAGAGGGGGCCTCCTCAACTCCACATGGAGCCAAACGCTTAGGCAATGCAGTTATAAATGGGTTGGCTCACTCTCAGTCGGAATCATGGGCTATGCAGTAATATTGTAGTTGTAGGCCAGGATTCTTGGCAAACACTTTGGTTTCTTGCAATGGAGCCCTGCCATTGCAATGTAATGTATGCTACCATCTAATGTTGCTGTGTTGGCCACAAAATTTCATAAATTTTCTTAGACTTCATGAGGGAGCAATAAGATATTGCCACTGATATCTGTAAGCAGGCAACTGATTTACAAGCACTTGATTTGTGCCCCTTTCTTATTAGGCATTAGGCATCTCATATAAAGTGCACATTTATCATCTCATATTAATTTCTATAACTAATTGCTACTGACTATTTGTCATTTTATTTATTTTTTTTTTAGTTGATATGATTGATGTATTGTGAAAATTGCTTATTGAGCAGATTGCAAAATGACTGCATTTTATTTTCGTATCGTGAAAATGCGCCTAAAGTAAACCATTCTACAATCTTAAGTATTTTTTAATGCTATTATTCGCTATAAATGGAACTGAATTTTTTTTTGTGATGCTGCTAAGTACTTAGACCGATGTTTTTTTTGGCAAGTCATGAAGTTTACTGAAATTCTTGCATATACAAGTATGTTGTTTGTGTAGACACTTTTTCTACTTACTTGGCTAACTTATAGCAAACCAAAATCTCTCACTTGTGCCAGTAAAATATATTTGTATATACTTGTACATACTCGTTTTATTTTCCCTTTTACCAATTATAGCTTGTGTGATTAAAGAAAAACAAATGATTTCTATTGACCTCATGTGGCCTCATATTCTCAAAATTTCATTGCTTTTAAATCACTTTTCTGTTAGTTTCAGAAAAAACTCTAAGACTTGTTCTTAGTTACACATTAAATTGCTTGATGAATTATAATAAAGTATATACGACGATCCACTTTTAATTAATTAAACCATACAACTGCCAGATTTTATCATCATTGCATAAATAAATGCATGTTCAAAAACAGTTATTAAGTGTGTTTTGCTGCGCACTTGTCACAAAATTCCAAGAAATTTTCAAAAGCTACGAATAACTCTCATTAAAAATGTCCTCTGATGTAGTCATTCTGAGAAAACAGGCATACGAATACGCGTGCTTAGATAAAAAAAAAATCATTTACTAAATATGCCTTCGAAATTGCAGACATTTATAAGCGTCAACTAAAATTAGACGCTCTGCACATAGGAATCATAGGAAGCTTGTTTCCTGTTTGGAGCTTACTTCGCACAATTAGGTTCACTGGTATAAAATTGTTTTGAGTTCTTGGAAATACCAATAGGTAAACATTTCATGCACACGTCCCCAACCCACAGCCACTCACTCCCATGATAAGGTGATGGGTGTATGCCAATCTACAATTGTCGCTTACTCTACTTGATTTGCCGCGCTAAATAACTTTTGACACACAACTGACAGTGAATGGAATGGGAAGCAGCAGGAAAAAAGGAAAAGGAAACTGAATGATCAATATGGCCATACGTGTATTTGCATGGCTTCGATTTCTTTGAGCAAGGCAAACAATTGTCGGGCAACCGGTTGGGCAATTTGTGAAGCGGTATTGCAAATAATTTCCTGTTAACTGCAATTAAGTTCATGCCGCACGGGCATTTGGGTGGGTGGGTGTTGGCAGGACATGCACAACATACAAAGGAACAAAAACGAACAAAAAACGGCAGAGAGTCAAACAAAACGGTATGAATAATTATCCAACTTACATGGGCACTTCATTAAATAGTGATTAAAATGCAGCTTCTTCTGTTGAATGCCGATCCACATCAGCCATTGCCACGGAACGTGCAGTTATTATTTATCGTAGGTTCAAATAGTAATGCCTTTATTTTTATTGAAAATTTGTGTAAGCTTTCACAAGCCAGCCAAGCCAAGCGTCTTGGCCAATAACAAATTGACACGCTCTCCGGGTCGCTTCGACCGCTTGGGATAAACGTATATGGGTATACGTATATGCGGGTGTGGGCTTGTTGAGCGATATGTTAAGCTAGGATTTGTCGTATGCAAATATTTAATTAAATTGCATTTTCATTTACTGGCGGGCGAATTCCTTTTACGGCCGCACCACGCGCTCGCCGACTTAATCGCGATAACGACAATGGCAATAACAACCACGGGGCCATTGCTGTTGGCAACAACAACAACAAGAACAACAACAAGAGAACAAGAACAGCAATGCGTCTGGCAAAAATATGTATTTTATGAAAGTACACAAACAATGTGTAAAAACGGGAAGTTGAACACGCGCGTTATACTTTCGCCTTGCCGCTCGATGTACGGGCTTAAAATTTTAATAAAGTCATACACACGCACACGGCTACTACCAAAGGACGCACAGGACGCAGGACGCAGGAAGCAGGAGGTAACAGTGGCAACTTAGCCGTGTTAACCCTGGCGTCGACTATTTTGTTTTTCCTGTTTGTATTCTGCTGGTTGTTGTAGTTATTACTGTTGCTCTTGCTGTTCTTGTTTTTGTTGGTGTGGCAAGGCGCGAGTTTGCGTTGCTTTATCAATTTTTAATATCTATTTAACATTTCAATCAACATTCAACGGCAAACAAACATACACTTGTGCATATTTAAAATTAATTAATATTTAATTTTTCATTTATTGTATTTTTGTTGTGCGTTATTTGCGCTTCATTTTTTAACGCGATAATGCAACGTGGACGATGCCGATGCCAAGGACGAGGAAGTGGGCGACGACGACGATACGCGCGTAGCACGCTAATAAAATTAAACGGCGACCAGTGCCGAGCGTGTTATAACAACAATATTGCGACAGCAATAAAATAACAACAACAATGCACAACTACACACAATAAGCACACACACCAGTCGTTGTGTCTGTAGATTTTGGATGACCAAAGAATGGAGCGTCGTTGCGTATCCTTGAGCACGTTGTAGCGTCACGTTCCGACACGAATACGAAACTGAGCAGCTAGGCTAGCAAAAAGGTTGCACGAGCCGCCCAAAATGTCCTGTCGGTGGTCGATGCTGACTCGTGAGTCGTGAGCCACAAAAGCTTCGTGTCCGCTCCGTTGTCGCTCTTGTCAGGGAAATTTCAGTTCGTAAGCGCGTTCAGCATCGGCCACATCCTCGTTTTCACTCAATTACGAATGAAAGTAAAAATTTCATTCGAGCGCAAGTTAACTCCGACGTCGGCGTCGACGTCAACGTCGCTCTTGTCGTTAGCTGCCGACCAACCTGCCAGCCTACCAGCCTGCCAGCTTGCTCTGTTTGAGTTTGTTTTGGTTTAAATTGCATTGACTTGATGATGCTTGAGGCCAGAAGTAGGCCTATCCCAAGCTTCTTTTTTTTGTAGCCCGTTCATTCGCTCGTCTATTTGTTGTTCGCCTGCCAGCCCGCCGGCACTCTTATTCCTGCTTCAGGCTCGATTTGCTGTTGCTGCTGTTGTTTCCTGAGGCTGACACCACACTTGGCAGTCCAATGCAAATACGCAAGTTCTAGTTGCCGAGCACTGCCACTACTTGAGAAAGAGCAGTCGCCTTAAAGACTGAAATCATTTACATTATCATTTCTGTGAAGACCCTGCACCTCCATTTGTTAATTTCTCTAACAAAATTAGTCTCGACCGTTACTTACTTAAGCATTAGCCTACTGCCAAGTGTGGCAAACCTGAACAAATTTATGTTGATAAAAAAAATAAAACAACATCCAACAGACCAAAGAGCGAATTTCCTCTCGCTCTCTTTAATCCACGGTCATGCGCCTTGCTATCCTTCCAGTGAGTGCTTGGGTATAAGAGAAATATACTAGCTATCGGGGCAGTCCTTTTGCACTTTATTCAGCAAAAAGTCTGCGAAACGTTCACAAATACTTTGTTTAACGGCAATTTGTATTTACAAAGTACTAGTTTGAGAAATATTTGTTGTGTGCACGCAGTCTATAATTTAATTTAATTACATTTTAATGTATTTAGATCAAGTCTATGTGTAGGCGGTAGGGAGGGGGTCGGGGCGCTTTCAGGCCTGTGGCAGGCGATTCGTAACAAATACAAAACATTTTCGTGAAGCTCGGCTGCAGTATTGAAAATGAATTTCAAATAAAAGACAGCAAATATTTCGAATTTGGCCTTTGGCTACATTTTCATGATTTTCCATATCTGCGTATATAAGCGTGGTGAATTAATAATAATCAGCATTGTCCATATAATTTTTTTGGCTTCGCTTACCCGATCATGTTGCGTAGCCAGGGGCACACGCACCACCTGCTGAGGATTCGGTTTGGGATCCTTGCTGCCTTTGGTTCCCTTGGTAGGGTTGCCTTTAGTTTTTGGTTGCTCTGGCATTTTGACTGCCTACTTTTTTCTGTTTGCTCGTTGTTTTTTTTTTTCCTTGACTCAAACCAAATAATTTAATGCTTGCCGTTTGCTTTTATTTACATTTTATGAATTTAATATGCCACATGCGCCGCCGCCTACTTGGTGCCCCCTAACGCTATGCATATTTGATACATACATACGAACCTATATATAGTATGTACGTACGTTTTGTGTGACAGCGGGCAGGTAAATGTCTGAGCTATATGGCCACAGGCTTTAAAGCCAGACAACTAGACAGGCGGCTGATGCGTGGCAGTCGTCATGGACACACACACACATGCGTACATTCATATCACCATGCAACAATACATCATAAATGTCAGCGCCTGGAATTCCGTATAAAGCCATATAAATGAGTCTACTTTAAGGCGCGCACTATATATTTATGTACTTAGTTGTATGACCATATAAATGCATGAATGTGTGCTTCAGCGTCTCTGTCTGTGTCTGTGTCTGTGTTGCGGCGAAAATTGTCTCGCTGTTGTGAAATATGTTTCCACACAGTTCGACTAAGGGGCACAAACTCAGAGCCCATGTTCCCAAATGGCAGCTACTTGGTGCTGCTTTCTTTAGTTGCTAAATTAATTTGCATAAATTATGGCATATGCAGTGCATGGGCCGCCGCCAGCCTAGTCTTAGCTCATCTCTTATTGCCTGCCATTCAGCGTGGCTTTTGGGGGGCTAACATTTCGATTTATCATTGGACTGCTTAAAATTTTCAAAAATAAAGAAATGCAGAAATAAAGTAAAAAGAAAAATGTTTAACAACTTCCCATGCCACAACACAGCACAGCACAGTACAGCAATCATTCATTCATTCATTCATTCAAACATGCCGACAGTTTGCCAGTCCAATGCTCCTTGCTTCCGCACCCACGACCTCTCACATTCATTTGCTTCATTCCGCTCGCACTTGTAATTTGCATTTTTTTTTTCACGGGCATTGTCCGCACATTTGCAGCAGCCACCACCCTAGCTAGCATTTGGCGAAGTATCTCTCTGAGTCGATGTGGGTGTGGGTGTGTGGTGGGCCCTGGGCACCCTTGGGCGCACCCCATAGCAACAAAGTTGATTGTCTGCTAAAGAGCATAAAGTCGTAATGGAGTGGAGGCAAATAAACATAAAATGGCATAGAATTGTGGGCACAAAGGCACACAAAAAAAAAAAACGCACGCGTACGCGCAAATGTTACGTCAAATCACTTTATTTCACTTGTTTTCAATTTCCCAGCCATTTTACTTTACCGTTGTGCTTTCCTCCTTTGCATTTCTCTGCTTCACAGTGCCCATGGTCCGTCGTTGCTGGTACTACAATATTTACCTTTAGTTTGATGAAGTGGGCACCGCTAGGCACGTAGCCTGCAGAGCATAAAGCGACAATTGACTTCAGAGCTGATCAGCAACAACAACAACAACAGCAACAAGATGAGCAGCCAGTCGTCACTCAAAGGTGCTTGAAACAAAGAGTGCCTTGACAGTAAAACCTTTCGCCCCCTGACCTTATCCAGCGCTTAGCCTACTCGTAGTTTACAAGAAATTCATTAGAGTGTCTTGGAACACCACACATATTTTTAACTGCCGCGACAGATAATCCGAAACGCTGCATCATCCAGAGCTGACTCAACAGTTATTGTTCCTAACACCAACTGAGAGATTATTCTTTTTATCAGCTGTTTAGTCCTACAAGTAGCGTCGGCGACTCATCTGGGATAAGCAGTGCCATGTCTTTATTTGTATTTACTTTTGTTGAGAAATAGGACTGTCGAAAGATGAAAATAAAGTAATACAAAGATAACTTGTATAACGATTAAAATAACTCTTTCACACGCTTCTCCCCTCCAGTCAATCAAGTACAAATTTGTTTTGATAAAACTTCTGATCTAAATATTGATGATCTTATTATACTTGTACATCAAAATGAATAATCAAATAAATATTTCAGCTTGATAATCCTGAGTAACTTAGTAATTTGTATAAAAATAAATGTAAAATATTGATGTCATATAACATATTTGTAAACAAATAAATTTAAAATGTTGATGTTATACATTCAAAATGAATCAAATCCCTTGAATCAAATAAATATTTCAGATAGATAATTCTGAGAACTTAGTAATTTGTAAACACCATCGATTTCTACAAGATAGAATAGTTTGTAACAAAAAACGCTGTTCGTAAACACAGCCTGGTCAAAAAAAAATATGTGAGACCTTTACAGTCAATTAAACTTAGTAAACACCAAACACCCAATTAAGTAAGTTATAATTAGTTTAATGGTGTTGACTTGCAACTTAATAGACCACTCCTTGTGAACAGTCCAGCTGACAAGAGTTTTACTAAATTGTTCAAATCAGTTTTACAATGTCTAGTAATTTGACCTACATATCAAAACTTCACACCTGTTCACAAGCCCCTACCATTTAAACATGTAAAATAGTTTGTTTATCCTTGTCCAATATTCAATTGAAGCGCATTTAAATTGTATTAATGCTTCTTCCAGAAGCTTCCATGAAGTCCAATACTTACATATGTGTCCTTCTAATAATTTAGTTGGCAGCATTGTTATTTACACTCCAACCAACAGCGATACTCGCACTAGCACCACTAGCGCCCACCCAACTGAAACCACAAAATCCGTTAAATAATTAAGTCATAAATGTGTGCGGCGCACCCCTTTTTTTCGACGCGCTTTGACAATTAACCAAACTATAAAATGTTTGAACACCTGAAAGCGCTTCGCCACACAACGCAAAAAAAGACTGTGCCGGCTTTTGGGGTAAAAGCCGTCATAAATGACAGACTAGGATGGAAGCGAGAGGGAGAGCTTTACATACACATATACACAGACAGAGGCGCACATACACGCACATTTAAGCCAATTAGCATTTATGTGTGATGGCAACGTTGAAGGCAAAAGCACAAAACGCGTTACATTTTCATCAAACGCACGACACTTTGTTTTAATTTGAGCAACCACGCGCACACACACACACACGCACACACAGGCACCCCCGTATGTACACACATCATGTAGGCCGGAGCAGGAGCAGGAACAGGAGCAGAAGCAGGCATGCATGAACTAACGCACATCCACACACAAACACATTTATGTGTGACAGCTTTGGTTTGGACCCGTCATGGGCGCCCGCTCCCGCTCCCGCTTCTTTTTGGGACTTCCGATTCGGCTTCAGCTGCGGGCTCGGACGGGCATTTACAGATTTCTGTTTGGCTGTTTGTTTGTACGAGTATGTCGCCTGCCGACGACGCTCTCGCTATTCCCACGGGCCCCTGCACGGGATATTACATTGTTTTGGGCAATTCACTTTTACTGTGATTAATTTAAATGCGCCCCCGCCACATGCCAAAGCCGTGACTGCTTTTTTACGCCGCCATACGCCGCATACATAGGAATCCATGGCATAGGCCCAGACACGGGTGCTTTATTTATGCGCACATATCACGCGTCGTGTGTGGCTTTCATAAAATATCCTCGTAACCCTTATGTCGAATGCCGCGTTTTAAATCGAAATGCTCTAAGGCACGGCAGATACAATTAGCGACGCAGCCACGCCTATTTTAATGAAAATCGCTCTTCTTTCGCCACAGACGGGGAAGAGTCAATTACATTACTAATTATTTTATAAGAATATTCTATGGAGCTGACCTACTTGTCATACGAGTATGGGTCGCTGTCCTAATTCGAATATGCAAATGCGCACGTTCTACATTCAGAGCTGGCATTACTCTTTCCTTTGAAGACCTTTCCAAATGTGTTTAATAGCTTTCCCGAGTTCATAAAATGTTCAGGAATTTGAGTTTAGTACTTAGCCGAAAACTCTGATTTTGAGTCATTTCATAAGCCAAGCTTAGCTCTTTTACAAGTATGACATTAGTTTAGAAAACTTTCATAATTTATGTACAATTGTATTATGTTCGCAGACTCAGTGGGATCAGTGGATGCCCCAGTGAGGACAATCTCTGTATACCTTTTCCGTTACGTTCCAACTCTTGTCTCTTCAGCATACCTTGCTACCGGCATACTGCGAATAACTGCCTACCCATTCTTTTTCACCAGTGTGATAAAACAGTGTATTTGTATTTAAACCATTTTTGAAATCTTTAAATCAAAGCTTGTCTTAAGCTACAAGAATTTTGGAAATTGTATATACATATGTATTTCATTTTCCTGTCCAATTCCACTTCCGACATATGGAACATCGAAATTATTACTTAAAAGCAATTATATTTATTCTTATACCTTCACGCCGAAGGGCGAAGTTATTTATTTGGTTTGTGCACCTCCTACCCCATAAAATGTAAATATTCTCAATCAGCATGGCATCAATCATATCAATATAGCCATGTTCGACTGTCCATCTGTTCGTCTGTCTGAATGAACGCCTAGATTTAAAAGACAGCTGAGCCCACATTGACCAAAATTAGTACAGAATTTCTTCAATACTGCTCAAAACTCCAAATCTACATAAACCAAACTTTGCACACTTCAATTATATATAATTTTCTTCTTTTGATTCAAACCTTATCTAAACGAAGTATTTTTTTTTCTGTTTGCTTCAGCTATGGGTCCACGTAACTTAGCAGCGAAAGTTTTTTTGTGTACACGGTATTTCAATGTCCGCTTGCTCGACTCTTGTTAATTAATATGATTTTCTGTGAGTATCTATCTTCTATTTGAATTGTTAGTTCATCGCACATTATATCGACATCATGAAAAAGACATGTCTTTGTAGCTAGACCAAAGTGCACTCTATAAGTGTTATTAACACGAGTAAGCAAATCTTATTTCGCCTGTAAGTTATGAGCAATGCTAGGAAATGGGTTTAATTGACACTGTACATTGCGATTAGCAGAAAGTTCTCTGTACAATGGTGTACAGTTTCGTAAATCATTGTTAGAGAAAAGTGGCCTAATTAAACCTACGTTCTAGAGAAAATATCTACATTACCGAACAAATAAATCTATAAACTAGTTATCTGTAATGAATTTGAGGGAAAGACTTTGACTAAAAACATGAACAGACACATGTTTAGCTGTAATCAGAGATGGGCAATGAAAACTTGTTTTGGCAGCCGGCAAC